AGAATCTACAAAGAACTCAAGCAAATCACCAAGAAAAAAAAAAAAAATCAAACAGCCCATTAAAAAAAAATGGGCAAAAAACATGAACAGAAGCTTTTCAAAAGAAGATAGACAAATGGCTTATAAGCATATGAAAATATGCTAGTCACTGATCATCAGGGAAATGTGAATTAAAACCACAATGAGGTATCACCTTACCCTAGTTAGAATGGCTTTTATTAAAATATCTAAACACAATAGATGCTGGTGTGGATGCAGAGAGAAAGGAACAGTTAAACACTGTTGGTGGGACTGCAAATTAGTACAATCTCTATAGAACACGGTAGGAAATTTCTCAAAGAACTAAAAGCAGATGAACTGTTCAATCCAGTAAACCCACCACTTGGTATTTATCCAAAAGTAAAGAAGTCCATTTTTAAGAAGACACCTGCATTCAAACGTTTATTGCAGCATAATTCACAACTACAAAGATTTGGAATCAACCCAAGTGCCCATCAATTCATGAGTAGATTAAACAAATATAGTATATGTATACCATGGGATACTACTCAGCCATAAAAAAGGATGTATTAATGGCCTTTGCAACAATTAGGATGGGACTGGAGACCATTTTATCCCAAGTGAAGTATCTAAAAAATAGAAAAACAAATACTGCATGTACTTGCTATTAAATTGGAACTGATGAGCACACCTGTGCACATAGGGAAGTACAACTCATTGGAAATCAAGCAGGTGCAAGAGGGGAGGAGGGGATGGGTAAATTTACACCTAACAGGTACAGTGCACACTATCTGGGGGATGGGCACACTTACTGCCATTACTTAAACATTACAAAAGTGGCCCATGTAACCAAAAACATTTGTACCCACACAATATTTTGAAATTAAAATAAATAAATATATAAATAAAATTACCATGTAGGTGCAGGTTTATTTCTGAAGTCTATTTTTCCTATTAATCTATATATGTCAAGTCTTATACAAAGACTGCATCATTAGATAAAACCAGATGTAAAATATGTCTTGAATTCACATAGTACAAGTGCTACAGTTTTTTTCTTGATTATTCTAAATTGTTGACTTTCTGCGTAGATATTATTATCAGCTTGTCAATTTCCAAACTACATATAATAGTAATGTTTTGAATGGGATTAGGTTACATTTGAAGATGAATTTGAGGAAGTTTGCCAGCTTAACTGTATTGAATCTTTCCATTCATTAGCAGGCATATCTCTTCATTATGCATATCTTCTTTAAATTTTCCCAACAATCTTTTATATAACAGTTTTCAGATAGAGTTCTTTCACATTTGCTACATTCATTCTTAAAAAAAAATTTTTGACAATATAGTAAGTGAAATTATTTATTCTACTTTACAACCATTTATAATGAATATATGTGTATACATGTATCTACACACCATTAATTTTTGCATATTAATCTTGTTCCTGCAACCTTGCTAAATTCAATTATTAGTTACAGTATTTTTCCCAGATTTCTTAAAGTAACTTATTTAAAACATCATGTCAGGCCAAGCACAGTGGCTCACACCTATACTTCTAGAACCCTGGGAGGCTGAGATGGGCTGATCCTTTGAGCTCAGGAGTTCGAGACCACCCTGAACAAGAGTGAGACCACATCTCTACTAAATTTAGAAAGAAACTAGCTGGACAACTAAAAATATGTAGGAAAAATTTGGCTGGGCATGGTGGTGCATGCCTGTAGTCCCACCTACACAGGAGGCTGAGGCAGAAGGATTGCTTGAGACCAGGAGTTTGAGGTTGCTGTGAGCTAGGCTGACGCCATGGTACTCTAGCCCAGGTAACACAGTGAGACTCTATCTCAACCTCCCCCCCAAAAAAAAACATCCTGTCATCTGAAAAATAGACATTTTTGCTTTTTGTCTGATCTTTATGCTTTTTTTTCTTTGTCTTATTACCAAGATCAGTACAATGTTGAGCACAAGTGGTAAAAGCAAGCATTCTTGTCTTGTTCCTAATCTTAGAAGGAAAGTATTTAATATATTAATATTACTGTTAAGTATGACCTATTAGCTGAAGGTTTTTCAAAACTGCCTTTTGAGGATGAGGAAGTAAGTACCTTTGTATTACTAATATGCCGTGCATGCTTATCAAAATTAGATGTTGAATTTTGTTTTTCTGCATGTATTGAAACAGTCATAGACATATATTTTTCTCCTTTATTCTATTAATATGGCAAATTACATTGATTTTCATATCTTAAACCTTGAATTTCTGGGATAACCACATTTGCCACTGAATTCATACATTAATATTTTGTTAGACATATTTATACCTGTGCACATGAGGTATATTTTTACATAACTTTGTTTTCTTTTTAATGTCTGCCAGGTTTGGTATCAAAGTTATCATGGCTTCATAAAACAAGATGGGAAATTAATTCCTCTTATATTTTCTGAAAGAGTTTTTATATAATTCTTGACAATTTTTTTATCTAAAATATCTTTATCTTGCCTTTATTTTTGAAAGATACTTTGCTGGATATGGAAATCTATGTTAATAGGTTTTTTTTTTTATTTTTCCCCCTTTTCAGTTATTTAAAAATATTGGACTGCTATCTTACGGTTTCCTGAGAAGTTCATAGTCATTCCAAAATTTCTCCTTCAAAAAATTATAATGTATTGTTTTTCTCTGTCTTCTTTCAAGGTTTGCTCTTTCTCTTTGTTAAGCTTATGTTTTATGATGAGTCAAGGTATAGTTTTCTTCATATTAAACCCCTATGGGGTTCATGGAATTTTAAAAGAACTGTTCATTTGCGTACCACCCCATTAGCTATTTTCATTATTTCTACAAATGTTTTGGTCATTTGTTTTCTTCTCCCCTTTTGGAACTCTACATGTATTTTAGACCCTATTTTCATGTAAGTCCATGAATCCCTGAACATGTTGTTTCTATCATTTTTATCTCTGTTCTTCAGATTAAATTCTATTAATATATCTTCAAGGTTACTGATTCATTTCTCTGCTACTGGGAGCCCATTCAGTAAACTTTTTATTTCAGATAATGTACTTTTTATACTTCTAAAATTTCTATTTGATCTTTTTGTTTTCTATTTATCTTCTAAGAGTTCATATCTTTTCATTCATTGCAAACCTGCTTCTTTCAATTCACCAAACGTAATAATACTATCTGCCAACATCTGAGTCATGAGAGCATTGACTTTTTATGCTTTTCTCTTGAAAATGGGTCACATTTACCTGGTTCTTCATATGTAAAATAATTTTAAATGTTATTCTAGGCATTGTGAGTATTACATTGTGAAGGCTGTGTATTTTATTACATTCCTTCAAAAAAGTGTTATTTTTTGTTTGTTTTAGAAAGTGGTGACCTTGGTTAGACTCAAAGTGCAAAATCTATCTCATCTACAGTGGGAGGAGGATCAATTCTCAGTTCATTTCTTTAACTTTATCTAAGGTGTTTGTTGTTATAGGGTCAGCTAGGTACTTAGAGTGAATGCAGAAACTGGGGTTCCTCTGCTATAAAATTCTTTACCCAGGATTGTTCCCTCACTTCCTTTTGACTATGGCCCTTCAGGCTTTCTGTATAGTTATTTAAGTTAGAAAACTATTTTTTTCTAACTAAATTTTCTCATAGAACTTTAGCTCTCCTGGTTAGAGCAGCGAACATGTCCTCCCCTCAGACTAAAACCACAAAAACAGGAGAATCACCCTGATCTGATCTCATTTTCTGTGTTTTGACTCTGCTTGCTTATTTCACTCTAAATAGTTGTTTGTATTTTGTGCAAATATCATAGTGGTTAATTGTGGGAAGGTTGGTGTTAGCAGTTTGTGTAGTATAGTAGAAAACAATAAAGTTAGAATCAGAACTCAGAGAGTTTAGTACTAAAGTTGTTAGTATAAAGAACTTAGAGAATGTAAAAATTATCACCCTAATTTGCTTTTGTTTTCTCATGCATAAATAAGCATCTTTGATTGTATATTCGATAAGTTCTCTTTTATTCATAGGTTATGGATATACATTTTACAGAGACTCCCTAAGCCAATTTAGCACTTCTCCAAACATTTTGATTTTACTTCTACAATAGTAATTATCACATTGCATTATAATATTTACTTTACCTATTTTCCCTCTTACTTTTTTCATACAATCTGGACAGAGACAGTGTCTTATTTTCACCTTTATTACTTGAGCATCAGGCATAGAGTTTGCCTCAAGCACATTTCACAAAGGACACATGATTGAATGGCCAAGCAAATTTTTGGTGATTTTTCTTTTGAGTACGACATCAGGTAGTGCTGATAAAAGTACTCAAGATGATGAATATGGCATTCTTGGCAGTTATATTTCCTGTGACCATATAGATTAGACACAAATACTACTCCAGAGACTTGCAGCTTTGCATAGTTACTATATCACAACTGTCAACTTCCCAAAAGACATACTGACCTTTCTTAATCAGTGCATCATTTGGAATATGTGGCAATGAAACCTCTTGACAACTTTTAAGCTTGAAAACTGTGGTCTGCATGTAAAGATTCCCTTGTGCAGGCAAGCCATGATTTCCATCTTCTTCATGCTTGCCATTAATAGTTCTTTGCTGACCCTGCACATCTTCTTTAACATGCAAGAATGCAATCATTAGCAGTTTCTGGATTACTGTCATAGGGATTTATGATGATCTTCATAGTCTGTTGAGTTAAAAAGTTTCCCAGAGGACCAGAAACACATTATGACACCAGCTTCCATTTTTAGCATATGTCCCAGGTTAAATTTAATATGAGGATGGCTGCTTTAAAAAAAACATTTTTTCCACTTAAAAATGTATACTTCTTTTAATTAAAAACATTATGACTTTTCCAGTGAAAAAAGAAAAAAGAAAACAAAATGGCAACCAGGAGAATATAAATCAAAGAAAAGACAAAATAAAAGAAAATTGGTGTAAGTAACAAGTAGACAATTGACTCTTCATATAGTTAATTGGACTATTAAGTTAATTTTTGCTTGCTGATTTATACGGTGACAATTTTCTATAATTCAAGTTTGTGCCTGTAAAAGTTAAAAATCTCAGCATGTAAATAGATCATTTATTTATTTTTCTTTCACTCCTACTCAATTATTTAATTTCAAAGACTCAAATTGTCATATGTAGCCTTGTGCTATTAAAATATACCAGCCATTTTGATTACTATGTAGAGGGTAGGGGAAACTGTCCTATTTCCTAGGTTCACTTAAAGATCAACTCACAATAAGACAAGTTAATAAGAGAAAGAGATTTATTTATTGTGCACATGGGGAGAATCATTGAATGATTACCCAATTTCCCAATGGGGTCCAGAAATTTATTTACCCTCCTTTTAGATGGGAGGGAGTAGTTTAGGGACTATAAATGGTAACTAGGGAGAATGAATAGATACTTAGAAAAACAAATGAATGGGGAAAAACAGATTTGTAAATGATTCTCTTTGAAAATTAAATTAACATGAGAGACAGGTATTACATTTTAAATGATTTGGGCCAAGTCTGATTAGGTTCTTGATCTTCTTTCCTGTAATATATTGAGATAACTGGTAGGGAAATGGAAGTTAATTGTTCTTTTTGGTGGGTCAGTCTGGTTTTATGCAGATAGAGGGAAAGCCTCTCCCAAAGCCTGTTGATCTCTAAAGGCCTTTAATTCAAAATACTCTTTATACAAAAGAATCGTATTTTGGGGTTCAATTTCTTGAGTTCCTTCAACTGGCTCAAGAATATTTAAATATACTTCAGCCATTTCAATGTTTCTGTATACACTTTGTTCACAGAAGTCATAATAAATAGTTATAAATGAGAAAATAATCAAATTACATGGGAACTAAGTTCTAAGGAAATTATCACTGGGATTTTGGTCATTTGCTGTCTCCTGTCAGACCTAGGGTTATGCTATGGACGTATGTGCCAAAATGTCCCAAAGATAAGTGGAAATGGTAAAGCCATATACTGATTAAAAATATAATCTTGAGAATGAGAGACATAAAATTATTAAAAGTTAAAGGCAGTGTAAAGAACAAGTACAGTAGCCTACCTTGTCTCCTTGCTTCTATGCATGATTTCCCTCCAGGTATTCACCACCCAGCAGGTCTTAAAAATATAAATCAAGTCATAATACTCCCTTTTTCAAAATCCTCCAGCAATATGTCATGGGCAATCACATTTAGAATAAAATCCAAAGTCTTTTCCAAGGCCAAACACCCCCACATGACATGGTGTTGTTACTGTTTTCTCCAACTTTGTCAGCTCATCCTCACCCCAGCATGTCATCTGTTTCAGCCACTCTGGTTTCCCTGCTGTTCTTCCCAACCCAAGCATGCTCCCTTCTCAGGGACCTGTTACTTCCTACCTACCTTGCCTAGAACACTTTTCATCCATGTTTTCATTTCTCCTGTATTTCATTCATGTCCCAGAGAAGTTTCCTTTGCACCTTATCCAAAGCATCCTCCCAACCATGATATCTCACTCTCTTTACAATTGTTTTCCTTTTCTGTTTAACACTTGTCATAATTATAGACTTACCCTTTTAACAAAATAGAAATTTATAAAAGACAAAGACTTCACTGCTTTACTGTAACCCATCTTCTTCCTTATGTTTAGCTTGCCATCTTGTTTGCTAAAGCCCATTTTCCAGTAGAGCTGTAAAAAGGGGGTCATAGGAGGTAATCATCTGAAGCCTTGCACATAGGAAAAAAATGTCTTCAATCTATCAACCCTCTACCCTTGGGATAATAATGAAGGCATTGTTTTGTAAAATCCAGTGTGATGTTAAGAAATGCTGGCATTTTTTTCCTCTTTTATGTCAGTGTGACATTTTCCCCTCCTCATTTCTGGACATTATTAAGGACATTTCTGGACACTCTTTATTCTTGTTTTTCTGAAATTGTAAGAAAATATGCCTTAGTGTGGTCCTCTTTCCTTTCATTATATAGGAAATTTGGTGGGTTCTTTCATACTAAAGATTAGAATCTTTGGGTTTAGGGGACTGTTTTCTACTACTTTGTTACTAATTTCCTTTTCTTTCTCTATTTTGGAAATCTTATTAGAAAGAGATAGGACATTTTAAATTTTTAGATTGACATTCCAAATTGCTAATCATATCTCTATTTTCTAGCTCTCTATTTTGACTTTTTCCTACTCTTAGATAGATTGCTTTGAATTTTTCTTTTCACCATTTTGGTGGGGGAGGGTATATAGAAGGATAGAGGTAATTACCTTTGTAATTTCCAAGATCTTCCTTGTATTTCAAATTTTTTTTATTTATAGCATACATTCTGTATGATTATATTCAACATTGCTCTTATCCTCAAAATAAATTAGTTTTCTTTAGTCTCTGTCTCCTAGGCATTCTTTTTTTTCTATTTGTTTGTTTTGGGTTCTCATTTATTGGTGAAGGCTTTCCCCAGATTGCTGTAGATCCCTTGCTGTCCTATCCTATTTAAGATTGAGTTGATGCATTGACAGAACTGGTCACTTGGTGGTGTTTAAATGTCAATCTTGCATTTCAATGGAAGACTTCCAACTGTTAGTATCTGAAATCTTTTTTCCTAGACTAATGGATTTTGTCCAGATAGTTTTCGTAACTTTGGTGGGGAGGTACAGTTGAAGTGGGTGATACATACTTGGCTCCTGACTTTTTGAGAATCAGAGAGGGAAAGACAACTGAGGGTCCCACATTTTTATTTGTAGTGTTTTATCTAATCCTTACTTCTATTTTCTACAGTGTCTGGTGTCTCCAAATTCAGGCTGTTTTCTTATAGTGGATAAGTATATGAGATTTGGGGATATGGAGTTCCTAGTACTTTTTAAACAGATTTTCAGCCAATCTCCTTTTAAGCTTGCTGCATTAACCTTGTTTTTCAAAGTGCCTCTAAATAGTGAGATTTTCAAGGGTTCTGCAGGATGGATTATTTCAGTTATCATCAATGTGTCACTCTGTACAAACCTATGTGGTGACTTTACTGACTGGACTACGTTAGTCATCACTTGATTTTGGATTGGTTTCCTAAAAGCAGCTCCTGAGATAAGAAATTTTTTCAAAGTGGCTTATTAGATTTTCTGGTTCCCAGAAGAAAAAAAAAGTCAGTGGTTGAAGCAGCAGAACTAGGAAGGGAAAGAGGTGAAGTAAAAATGTTGCACCAAGCAAAGTACCCCAGAAAATTATTTAAGTTTAATCCCACATGAGAGCTCTGGAGACCCAGTGTCAGTTCAACCATTGGATTAGCAAAAGGGTGTATTTACATTTTCCTACCTGTCATAGATTTGGATAGGGGCACCTACTGCTCTCTGGCATATACCCACATGCAGAGTGAATTCTGGCAGCCCGAAAACAGTTCTCTGACAGTGGTGCTGGTATTGACCAAAGGGTATGGAGGGGCAAACAGAGCCTGTGTGCATGAAAATGGTAAGGGGATCAGAGAGAACATGGGAAGAGAACTAACTGTACCTAGTACAATACTTCTCCATCCACATTTTTATTTCTAAAAATTCATTTAAATTGTTGCTGCCTTTTCTTCTTTTCTTTCAGTGACTTTGGGTCTTTATATTTTGTTTTACTTTACTCTTATCTGTGCTGTCAATCCAACACATTTAACCAGAATTTGCTAAGAGAAGCCCTCAATTTTTTTATTATTAAGAGTCTTCACTTATTTAGGAAAAATAATATGATGCACTGTGAAAATAAATGAAAAATAATATGGATAAATTTAAGAAGAAGAAGTAAAAATTTGTTGATTACTAAATATATAATATTAATCAAAATACAGTTGTAATTTTAATGGGGAAAAAACAAAAAAGTGTGAGACAAAAGAAGGCAGAATAATTTGAATTAACAGAACTGGAAATACATCAAATAATGCTTTTCAAGGATGTATGTACCTCTAACCCTTGCTAGGGAAAGGAAAAAATATAAAATCTAACCAAAATATTAAAAAATATATATATATCAGATGTTGGGCAGGTGGGAGAGGGGAGAGGGAGATGGGTATATATATATATATATACATTATAGGTGTGATGTGCATTGTCATGTGACGGACATGCTTGAAACTCTGACTCAAGGGGGGAGGGAAGGCAAGAGCAATGTATATAACCTTAACATTTGTATCCCCCATATTATGCTGAAATAAAAACTAAATAAATAAATAAATAAAGATGTATGAAGTTGGACATTAAATAATATTGAAAGGCAGTTACAAAAGTATAATCTATATAAGTAATTAGAATTAGAAATGTCATTACTTATTAACTAAAACCATTAATATAGAGAGATTTGAGGATTTTTTTCATATATTTACAAATATTCTTGGTATTTTTTTCCATTTAGTTTTCTGAACATTTGTGGAAGTAAGAAAAAAATTGTCTTTTACAGTAATAGCTCAAATTTATTCATATTGTATGTAATGAGTTGCATAATTTCTTTTTCTGAGGCAATAGTAACTTCAATGAACATCTCCAATTTTATTTTTTTCCTAAGTAATTAATAATTAGGGCTGGAAACTTAAATGTCTGTTTGTTCAGCTAAGCAAGTGAAAGTGAGTCCTTTTTACTATTGTCAGTTACTAGCCATTAACCGATATGTATTTCATAATTGATATGTATGTATTTCAAATATCTATAAATACACTTTTAGGTATTGGTATAGATATATGTATGTATTTAGGTCTAACTTGAGGTCCTACATATTTAGGGGGGTGAATAGTAATACTTGATAATGTAACAAACCTTTAAACATCACCTATTTTCCTTAATTATCTAATTAAATTCTGCTTATCTGATTGGTCCACATCATGCTGCATGTTTTTCATAAATCTTTCCTTACCAATTATTATTGTCTTGACAGTCGCCTACAGTTTTTAGGAATGTGATGGACATATAATTAGTATGCTATAAATACTTATGTAATACATAAGCAATTAAAGGAACAGCAAGGTTTAAAATGTGAAAAGCCAAAAAATAGCTGGGTATGAAAAATACCAAGTTTTATTTATATATAAAGTATACTAATAAGATATTAGTATATCCTATTATATATTAACTAAACAAAAAACCAGTACAGGAAATAATTATTCTATTTCTTTTAAACTCTTTTTCCAGAGTAAGACAGAGAAAATGAAATTATATTTGGTTGATCAGCATCTGCTATGGGTTTTTAGCATTTGGGAGAAGCTGCTGACTCCTAAAAAAACCCAGAAACGAACAACAAAAAACCACCACCAACAACAAAAAAACTAATAAAGAAAATGCAGGCTGGGCACGGTGGCTCACGCCTATAATCCTACCACTCTGGGAGGCTGAGGCGGGCGGATTGCTCAAGGTCAGGAGTTTGAAACCAGCCTGAGCAAGATCGAGACCCCGTGTCTACTATAAATAGAAAGAAATATCAACTGGACAAGTAAAATTATATATAGAAAAAATGAGCCGGGCATGGCGGCGCATGTCTGTAGTCCCAGCTACTTCGGAGGCTGAGGCAGGAGGATTGCTTGAGGCCAGGAGTTTGAGGTTGCTGTGAGCTAGGCTGACGCCATGACACTCACTCTGGCCTGTGCAACAGAGTGAGACTCTGTCTCAAAAAAAAAAAGAAAGAAAAAGAAAAGAAAATGCAAAGCCACTGAATGATCATTGTTTTCTAATTCATACATATCAAAAAAAACTACCATAATATATTTCCAAAACACATGTCCATGGTAATTTTAAAATTGGGTAGTATATAAAATTAAGGTTATTATATATATTGAATTGGTTTTCTGATGAAAGATACATTACCAGGAATTTGCCTAATCAACCAGATCTTCCTGGGAAGCTGAAATAACTCAGCAGTGGAGAAGATGTCTATTTCAGTAACGCCTCTATTATAACATTGTTATTTCCTTGCAAATGAAAAATAGTATCACTTCTATAGTATTTACTATGTGCCAGCTACTGTTCTAAGCACTACACACTTGTGTTCATTTTACAAATAAGAAAACTGAGGAGCAGAACAGTTAAGCAATTTGTCCAAGATCACACAGATGATAGTAATTGGTCAAACCAAACTACATCTGGCAACTTACCTCTGGCCATGTTGCCAGTGGGGTCTTTTGCTGCTGAGATTTGCAATGAAGTAATATAACAAACTGGGAAATATGTGATAGGACAACAGGTGGATCATTTTTAAATCTTCATAATGTTTTGGGGAGACGCACTCCTAGGAATGAGGAAGAAGAGAAAAAAGAAGGCAAAATGATTTTAATTAACAAAATTAGAAATGCATTAATAATACTTTTCAAAGATTATAAGTCTAGGATGGCTTTTCACAAATAAGCCAGTATGTAGTTGATGTAGTTTTATGAAGGTTCTAGTTCTTCCAGTGCTGCCTTTGGGCTTTTTTCCCTTGTAGACTCAACTCCTGACATAGAATCCAGTTTATATTTTTGGAATAGTTTCTGTTATGAATATGATAAGGGGTAAGGAATCTCCTTAGACTGAGATGTTTGGCAGGTCAACACTACTACCCAACAAGTAGCTAACCAAGGCCATTCTTGTCCGATATTGAAGGCCTGCTTATTACGAACCAAGGGGGAGTGAACACCATTCAAGTAAAAGTGTTATTTGATGAGTCACTTTTGGGAATAATCTTTGTAAATATAAGCCTTAGCAAAGTATTTATGCTTAAAATATGAATCTCTAAAAATGACTTCATGTACTTTATTTTCCATGAAATCAAATATTTAGGAAGTATTTTTAATATTTATATTCAATTTTTTTCTGTTTTTGCTATCATATTTCTTAGGATTTAAAGCAATGATTGCTTAACAACATTATCATCCAAAAGTGGTGATGCTAAACCCCATTGTAGTGTTCTTTTTATAGCCTGTAAGTCATATTCAAGCATTGAGGGTGAAAGATGAACAAGGGATCAATACAGCAAAAGACTGAAAAAGACATGCATGTATTGTTATCTCAGCTTAAATGGAAAAAAAATGCTGCAAAGAATAAATAGTCATTTATCCCTTGATAAAAAGAATCTAAATGAATATGTTTCCTTCTTTCCTAAAATGAAACACTAGTTTATGAGTTACCTAAGCCTTTAATCCAGATTGAAATCCTTTAATCCTGCCAAGAATAGCTGAAAATGTGAGTTAAGAAAGGCATTTCAAATGAATTCATAATTGTAACAATGAAAGTATATACCTTGTCTAGGCCAATCCTATCCTCAGTTGCTTTTTAGACTTTGTCTGTTCCAAATAAACAACTATAAAAAACAAGTAGCTTCAGAAATAAGAGATATCAATTAAAACAACTAAGAAAGTATTTTTTTGTTTGCTATAATATCAAATATATGGTCCAAAGTATTGCATATTCATTCTTTTTATTCATTGGTTTGTATAAGTCTTAGCAGTGGATGTTATTGAAAAAAGTTACTATAACTACTGTTAAGAATGATAATATTAATAATAATAATTAAAATTAAGAAATAGGGCTGATAATTTTAAATGGTTCCAGGAAGATATTGACTAGAAAAATCTTTCTAAACAATAAAATCAATGCAAAACATAATAACTAGTTTAAAAAAGTGCTTCACAATTTTTGTGAATTTTGTCATTTATTATTTTATATTGCTTTTGGTTTTATCTTTGACAAAAATCAAGAAGTACATGGTTTTATGCTTGATTGGTAAAATTGTACTTTCTTTAATGTGAGTAGAGAAAAATGCATTATTAAATGCTAGTTACCTATAATAAACTTCATAAATATATGTTGAGTGATTATCTCCTCCTGATCACACTAAATCATAGAGCTGGCTGAGTTTTTCCTATGATTGTTTGGTAACATTGCATTTTATTGTTGTTTCTTATTTTTTTCACAGTCATCTTAGGGAGTTCACCTTGTCATAAAGGTGAACTCCCTAAATGCACTATGGTATCCTGGATCAAAAAAAAAGGTAAAAGTCAAGGAAATTAAAATAAAGTAGGAAATTTAGTTAATGATAATGTATTTATATTGGCTACTTCTGACTAATGTACCATACTATATTAATATAGGGAATACTGGGTGTGGTATATATAGGAATTTTCTGTACTATCTCTGCAACTTTTCTCTAAATCTAAAACTATTTTAAAGTTCAAAATATATTTTTAAAAAATAAAGTGATTTTTTTAGACATACCAAAACTGGGAAAAATTATCAAAAGATGATCAATAACATAAAGTGATAAAAAAAGAAAATAAAAAGTATTAAAATATGTTAGAGAGAAGAAAACTGTTACCAGGTGGAAAATTGGACCTATGCAATTGAATAAAGAGCAAAAGAAATTGCAAATACGTAGGCAAATATAAAATCTGTTCTTCTAATCTCTTTAAAATACAATGTGTTAAGATAAAGTAAAAAAAAAATGTTTTGTGGGGTTTAGAGAAAACTTAGAAGTAAAATGTATACTAGCAACAACAAACCAGGACACAAACAGAAGTATGCTCATAAGGTAGCATAATATCACTTACAGGTTGACTGTGATCAGTTGAGGATATATACTACAAGTCTTAACTATCCATGAAACGAAGTGAAAGAAAGGATACAGCTAATAAGCCAGTAAAGTTCATAAACTGGAATGATAGAAAATGCTTATCTATTCCATAAAAAGAAGAAAAATAGAAGAAAAGAAACAAAGTACATTTGGATTATAGAAAACAGATGGTAAGATGGTAGATTCAAATCCAACCATGTCAGTAATGACATTACATTCAAATAGTACATACTCCAATTAAAAGATAGGAATTGTCAGATTGGAAAAAAATCTATACTTGATCATGTGCTGGATATAAGAGGTGCAATTAATCTTAAAGGTATAGTGCAAAAAGATAGTAAAATATCTACCATGCCAAAATTAATCAAAAGAAGACTGAAGAAGTTTTATTAATAACATATGAACTAGATTGCAGAGAAAAAAATTCTAACAAGGATAAAGACTCTCATTTCATAAATTCTTCAAAAGGACATAACAATTCTGAATATTTATGAATTCAGTAACAAAGCTTAAAGATACATAAAGCAAAAACTGATAGGACTGCAAAAAGAAAAACAAATTAACAATGATAGGAGACACTAACAATCCTTTCTCAATTACTGATAGAAAATGTTGACTCAAAATCCATAACAATATAGAATGTTTGAATAGACTATCGAATAATTTCACCTGATTGAGGATTATGAAATATGCCATGCAATAATGTAGACTGAAAACTCATTTTTTCATAGCTACATAAAACTTTCACCAGGATATACCATATTCTGAATGATAAAATTATACTCAGTACTTTAAAAAAATCTCAAACTATACAGAGCATTCTCTTTGCAAGATAATGACATTCAAAATGAATAACAGAAGATATTTTGAAAATTTCCAAATTTAAAGAAATGAAATACATTTCTAAGCAACCCATGATCAAAGAAGAAAATGAAATTAGAAAGTGTTTTGAACAGAATGAAAATGAATTCACATATCGAAATTTATGGGATGTAGCTATAATGGAGTTTAGAGGGATATTTATAGCCTTAAATGTCTGTATTACAAAAGTAGAAAGGTCTCAAACTAATGACCTATTCCATTTAACAAAGAAAAAAAAAAAGAAAAAAACAAGAAGATCAAACCTAAAATATGTAGAAGAAAGAAAATAAAGATAAAAGCACAAGTAATATTATAGAAAACAAAATAATGTATAAAATTAATCAAAAACAAGTTATTTGCAGAAAAGCAATAAATTTGCAGAAAAGCAATAATCCACTTCTAGACAAATTAATCATGCACAAAGGGAGATAACAACACTATCAATATCAGAATTAAGAGAGAATATCCCTATAAATCAGATAAAATGATAAAGGAGAATAATCTGAATAACTTGTAGTAGTTTTAAAATATATCCATAATTCTTTGTTAATCCAATTTTAAAAAGTGGAGCCTTGCTGCCCTCTCCTGCAGTGTGGGCTTGACTTAGTGATTTGTTTCTAATGAATAGGATGATGTGGAAATGATGGTGAAATCATCATGATGGTGAAATAGATAATGTAAGTCACTGTGGCTTCCTCCCCTCTCACTCCCTCTTGAATGGCTTGCTCTGGGAGAAGTTTTCATGTTGCGAAGATACTTAAGCACTTAAGCAGCTTCTGAAGAGAACCATGTGGTGAGGAACCAAGGCCCTCTGCCAACAGTCATCAAGGAACTGAGGTCTTCTTCCAACAGCCATGTGAGTTATCCATCTTAGAGATGGATACTATGACTCATCAAGCCTTCTGATGACTGCAACCACATGAGAGACCTTGAGCCAAAATCATCCAGCTAAGCTGCTCCTGAATTCCTGACTCAGGGGAACTTGAGATAATAAATCTTTGGTGTTTTAAGGATTGCATCTTGAGGCAGTGTGCTACACAGCAATAGATAAGAAATAAAAAATTTATAGCAATCAATTTGACAATTTAGATTAAATAGATAAATTCCATGAAGGATACAAAATAATGACACTCACTGAATAGTAACCTGAATAAATAACTTGAATAGTTTTAAATTTAATTTAAAATATTGAATTTGTAGTTTAAAACTTTCCCACAAAACAGCACCAATCACAAAGGTTTTCATTGGTTCTATCAAATGTTTCTACCAAACATTAAGGAAAAAATAATAACAATTCTATGGAAACTCTTACAGAAAATTGAAGAGGAGAAAAATAATGTATCCTCCTTTGTTCAAGTAAGCCACCATTACTCTTACACTAAAACCAGAAGACGACATTGGAAGAAAAAAAATTATCTACTTATTTTTCTATCAGCCAATACTCTCATATAGAGTACACTCTAAAATAATGATAGAAAGTATAATATTCTACACACATAAACCAGTAATATAGACACTCATCATCCTTACCACGGATTATCTTCTGTTCATAATTACATACACTATACTTTTACACAACTGGCAGCATAGTAAGTTTGTTTGCACCAGCATCACCACAAACACATGAGTAATGTGTTGTACTACAACTTTGTGACAGCTATGACATCACTAGCCCTTAGGAATTTTTCAGCTCTATTATAATCTTATGAGACCACCATTTTATATGGAGTCTGTCATTGACTCTAACACTGTTATGTGGTGCATGACTGTATCTACATTTTAAGACATTTCCATGTGTATTTCCCAAACTATATCTCAAATTT